GTCTTGAATATGCCCATTTCCCACCAGATATATGTGTAAAACAGTTTTGGACACTCTTTACCTTGGTGACTTTTGACACTATGGGGAATGTGTTCAAGTTGAGAATATCTGTTGATTTGAGTCAACGTTTATTAATTATTGAAGGTTGCTCTACGTTCTGTTTTGATAATGCATCTAGTGAACTCGGTGTTCTTGGGCATTTAAGTAGAACTTATTGGTAAAGAAATAAAAGTTATTGGTGCAAGAGTTACATATTATTGTTCTGTAATGCGGACCATGGAGGTTGTTGCCTGTGGCACCGATGGCAATGTGAATGCTTATTCATGAATAAATTTGGTTTGTGCCAGGCATTAACAAATTTATTGTGCCGAATTTTATTTCCCATTCTCTTAATTCCAGTTTTTGCTCCTGTTTGATTATGACTTTCGGATACAATATTTCATTTAAAGGGCTACATGCTTGAAATTACAGAGAAATATGTGGCACATATGAAGCCTCGATGTGAAGGTGTTGGCCAAGAATTTGACAAGCTCTCTCTTAATCATGAAAATGGTTTCCTGTGGGAGGCAGTCGATCTTGAATCCAGTGAACTGGAAAGAGCAAACACATTGTCTAGAGAAAGTACTTCTAAGGTGGGGCTTTCTGATGTTTTTGATAGTTGATGTAAGTGGTGCGTGCATGTGTGTATGTACACTGAAAATTCCCGGCAGAGGCTCATTATTGTATAGAAATAACTCCTTTTGCCGCCTTCTATGCTACTGCTCCATTAATGGGAAATGACCAAAGTCAGTTCGTGTTGTCCAAGTAGTCCCTTCTTGTCAATAATCATGTTTCTTTTGCAAGCTCTTAAATAAGGTAGCATTGTGGTCCTCCAGTTCATTAAGAATGAAAGAAGTAATCCATGATTGTTTCCTTTAGTTTATGGCGTGGGTTTAATTGATTTGAAAACAGCGATCTATTTACAGAATTTGAAGGAACTCAAATAAATGATACTGACGTAATGGTTTTGTTTCAAGTTGGTCGGTTTTTGTAGTTTAATGTGCAGTCTGGTCTGTATTCTTTGTAGGGACAAATTCTGTGTATTAGGTGATATCTAATTGACTAACTGGTGCTGTACTTACAAGTTACAAATTCATGCATAATTTTCTTAATCTTCAGACTTTAGACGTTTGAAGCTAGTCTCTCTTCACCCATTGCAATAATCAGCAATTGAAAGAGCATGCCAGCTCCTGAAGGTAATTTAGGACAGAAGGTTGATCGTTACTACCTTCATCTGTTTTGGTGTACAGTTGTTCTCATTAGTAGAAAGATATGAATGTGCGAGCGTGGGGTGTGTGGTTATGTATGTATGTATCTACGTATGTTCAAGCTCAATGAAAATCATCAAATGTGGTTCCCTTTTTTTTGGGGGGGATGAGGAATGAAAATATAATTCTTACATCTAAGAATTTCGTGCCATCTTTCTTTTCCTCTCCTTTAATCTCTATAAATTTTCGGTGTTAATCTCACTGTTTTTCAACCATGTTAAATTATACTACCTTCAGTGCTTAATATAAGAGTTAGTTTGATATTTAATTTGGTCCTCAATATAAAATCTCAATCCACTTTATCTTTCATATTTATTTATTTTTTTTAAGGCAATCCTTGTAGTAGTTGCACATATTAAAGTTTCATCAAATATAATTCTAGCTAATACACATGATTAGCAAATGTATTTTTAGGAAAGATAACGCCTATTTATTACAAATAAATAACTTAACTAATTTTTGTAGTCTACTCAAATTAGTCAACTAATTTTTATATTAAGGATAAGAGGAACTATAAAACTTTTGTGAACTTACAGATAATTTCATTAACCCTCAAAACTCAATAATAAATCCCCCTAAACTGTCAACTTTATGCAGATAATTCCAAACTATTAATTTCATGTCTCCTTAAATTTTATTTTTTTATGCATATAATCCCCTCAATTTTAAGAGCAAAGTATTGTACCTTTATAAAATATCTGTTGGTACTAATAAATTGTCAAATGCTAAGATCATGTTTTTAAAATTAGATGGGCACATGGACCAATTGATCTAGATTACATGATACACATTCACTCTGTTTGAATTTAAAAAAAACCAATTAAAAACTAGTAAAAATTAGATAAAACTATCCAAAAATCGCACTGAATGAAAACTAGACTAGCCATAAGAAGATTCAATTTACATGGTCCATAAAACATGTAATAGTCGCAATTGACTAGGGAAGAATAGTTTTTCTCCCGAGAGAGGGTTCAACAGTTGGTGAAATGGTGAGTGGTTCCTAATAACTTAGTGCTTCCTTTGGTAGGTAGCTCTCTGCTCTTCATCTCTCTCCGCGTCCTTCTTTCATGCTCTTCCCATGAGCTAAGAAAAAGAACAGCAAAGTAAATTGTGTCATAACTTGAGACTTGTATGCCTCATTTCCCAACTTTTCTATTTTATAATGTGTGAGAATATTATTTGTGTCTGAAATAATTAATACAAAATTATATTAAAAATATATTTATTTTTGTTATGATTTGAGTTGATTGGATAAGCAAACTTTAATAGTTAGTTTGATCTTAGAAATAATTTTACCAAATTGATGATGACAGTAATTTTGAAGAGCAAAATAGAAATTTGTTTTTCGTATCACCTTCAACCGTATTTGAATTGATTCTATCAATATGTAAATTTCTTTATCCAGTTTTTGTTCTACAGATGCAGTGGTTCTGAAGTAGGAAAACAAGGTAGTGGACCATAAAAGATCAAACAATGGCTGTCCCGGTCCCTAATAGGAGAACCTTTCTGCTCCCTTCTTCAAGAGAGGAAGATGATCGACTGAATCGTAGGGCTAAGAAGATTAAAGGGGGAGAATCTGGGAACAAAGGGTTTATACTGGATGGGCATTGAATCCGAGAAGGCTCGATTGTCTCTGAGCATGTTTTTAGAATACTATAATGAGACAGCTCTATTTCTTATGGGGAATATCAAAATTGATGGGAAGACCTCAGGGCATTTGATTGATCGGGGAAACAACTCATGTTGGGTTTTAAGCTGTGTTGACTGAAAGATGAAGGAGGGTTGGGCTTTAGAAGGCTTGAAGCTGTGAATGGTGCATGGGTAGATAAGATTGCGTGGAATCTAGCTTCAGGTATAAAAAGGACTATGGGTGGGCATGCTTACTCAGAAATACATACATGGAATCAGAATTGCTGATAATTGTTTGAGGAGCTTAAGTTCTAATGAAACTTGAGTAAAAATCGTGGGTTTACTTTTAGTAGCGCCTTTTCACTTATTGAGGACTCTGGTAGCTCCCCGTTTAGTAAAATCTTCAACAAAAATCTGGAAACGGAGAGGAGTGGAACGGATTAGAGTCTTTTTTTGGGCTTGCCACCCATGTTCGGAGGAGTAAATGCGGGGGCTGCTCACCCATATGAAGTAATTGGTGCAATGATCAACCATGAAACTTTTGATAAACCTTTAGGTTACGTTTGGTAGGAAGCATTGAAAATAAGAGATCGGAATTGGGATTATAATTGAGAAAATCTATTAAAAGAGTTAAGAGATTACTTATTATATGGGATTAGTCAAAACCATGTATGTGGGATTGGAGAATACCATAGGAGGAAGTGGTATTCCCCAATCTCACCTTTATGGATTTGCCTAATCCCATATAACAAGCAATTACTTATGCTAAATACTATTCTAATGCTTTTTTTCAATTGTAGTTTCAATCCCAATCTCTCATTCTCAATACTTCGTCCCAAATGGGACTTTAGATCCTGGTTTTGTTATTTCTGTGATTGTGAAAAACTATGTGGGAAGATTGCATCTGAAAGAAGGTGGATAGAAGCAGTGTTAAATGGATCAAGATTAATGTGCATGTGGGTGGGGCTGTCATGGAATAGTCTGGTTTGCTGCATGTGGAGGGATAATGCGAGATACTTTGAATTTGGACTCATGGGTTGCCCTAACAATTTCTTGGGCATCTGCGAACCACGAGAGCCTGAGGAATGTTCTCTGTTTAAAGGTATTGAAACAGCGTGGGAGCTGCATTTGCCAGTCAGTTATAGGAGAATTTATGTAATAGGTGATGGAATTGGCAACTCAAGTTTCAATGTGCACCGACAGAGGTTAAAAGAGTTGCTCATAGTCTTGCTAGTTGCTAAATCTAGTCTAAGGATTTATAATGATTTCCAACTTTTGATAGTGCCCCAGCCTATCCAGAGGGGTTGATTAAGAACCGTGTATTAGGATGCTTTGCAACTTGAGTTCCAGGGACTTGTTCCCTCTCCTTTTATCAAAATAATACTACCCTGATTTTAATTTACACTACAAATTAGATCTTATATTTAGAAATAAGAGTAGTTTGCATTACAGACTAAATTTTATATGCAGGAACGGAGGTTGTAGCCATAACAACGGCAACAACAATGGACAATAAACAAAGAAATATTCACTACAATCTTCATGGTTGCACAGAATAAACGATTTTGTCTCAGATGAAGACACAAATTGGCATGATTTAAAACTAAATAATATACTTTTTACTTAAAACCAAAATAAATTAGGCGATGATATATAATTTGAAGTAGCAAAGAACATTCGTATAGTGTCGTATCCATGGACAAGGATGAACCAAGATCAGTTCACTAGAAAGAAAATGTGTTCATACAGAGGAAACTGGCAAGGAGGTTTCCAGTTTTATTATTGTGCTTTTGACTTGCAAAGAATTCATTTTGGTCACACACAAAAAATCCTCAGAGAATTCAAGATTGTTTTAGTTTTTGTTAACTTCGTGAAACTATTTCACCTGAATTAGATTCTTCGTCTGGCAAAACTGGTGGTGCAAAGTCATGGTACACCGTCAAAATTCAAACAGACTTTAGTCATCAACTTGTGTTTCCTGATTCTTGATTGAAGTAACCTTTCCCCTGGGGTTAATCTGCGTGGGTCTATCAGCTTCTTATTGCTCATCGTTACGATCTGTATTCTTTGATGGCTTTTCCTGCTGCTTGGATTCCTCATTTGAGTGTTGATGCTGCAGTTCCTCTGTTATCATCTGAAGTCCTGCACTGTCCCAATCCTCAAAGACTGATATTCCATTAACAGTTTCCCATGTTTGCATGAGTCTATCTGACCCTGGCTGCCAAATAACATCCCCCTTTCTCTCTTTCAATATGAACTTGTATTGGATCCTTTTTCCAGCAATTATATCCTGTCCATATACACAGGACCTGTATGTTACTCACGATTTAAAGTTAATCATATTAATTGATTCACACTCAACTGTAAATTAAATTGACTGAGTTTATCTCTCAAAGATTTGGCAATGAAGCTTTTCACCAGAGGAGTTTTATTTCATTTTATATTTCTTATTATAGAAGATTCTAATTTTTACTCACCGTTTCAGCAGTCCAAGTATGGTCATCTGACCAGGACATTGGTATTGGATCTGAAGGGTCCCAGGAACCTAACAGAGCATCATCCCCAACGATGCAAAACTGTTCACCGAACTTAATTTTCTTTGCAATTGAAACTTGACATGGACAATCTTCAGTTCATCTACACAACACATATCACTGTGTTTATAATAATCCTGGAATATCTACTATGAAGGATCTTCAAAGTTGACTAAAATGAGAAATTTTTTGACAGGTTGGATTTGTTAAAATAAGGTAAATTAAGTTTATGGCTAACAACTGTATATTATCTACCTATTCTTTATACACAATGGAAAATTTTTAATAAGAACTTGCTCGTTTGTTGAAGTGGCAGGTCTGCAGTGTTCAACTCCAGCTGCAACGTGATATGAAAATCAAGAGCGAATCCTATAGAATGAACCAAATCCGGTAATCACTCCATTCACTCATATCTAAACGATCAGATAACTATTTTCTGGACTAATTTTTCATCAAACAGATACATAATAGATTAGTTTGATTCAATTTCTCTTGTTTTCTACAGAATCGAAAAAAGAACTAAAAAATAATCTAGGACACCGAAAAAATAGAGAGCGCAAAGCAATAGAATATGAAAGACGTTGGCAATAACGCTGCCCAACATTAATGAATTTGACAGATGCACACCGAGTTGACAATAGCGATCTTAGCCTTTATCTAGTTAATATTCGAAAAGAAACAAAACGTAAAATGGGCATATAAGTTTTTGCACTCCATGGAACAGATCCGTTTTTTTTTTCTAAGTCCTTATTCTTGATTTTGAAAAAAAATAGATGACAGGCACTTAAAAAAATCTAAGTGGAAAGCATAGGAGGAGATACATCAGGGAAATCACCAAATCTTGCATGATTACACATTTTAAGTAATAGGATTCATCAATAATCTATTTTAAATAATTTTTTAATCATTTTAGAAACAAAAAAAATAATACGATAAGAGGAATGTTCTAAAGTGACATCCATCTTGATTCCTAAAAGTTAGAACAACTTATAGTTTCAATCTAAGCATCCAACAAGACGCCCATATTGGCGTACAAAGTGACAAACAAATCCTACGTGGCAACCCAGGTGGCGTGAATACCATATGACGAATTCCAGTTATCTTGTGGTATATTGTGAATTCTTCTTAAAGTTGGGCGTGAATACCATATGACGAATTCTTCTTATCTTGCGGTATATTGTGAATTCTTCTTAAAAAAAATTTTAGCAACGGTTTTAACCATTATAAATTGTTAAGAAATGATCACAAAAATAATTAGCTCATCATGAGTTCATGACAAGGATAATTTTATCATTAATATAAAAGTCTGTTGACTAATTTGAGTAAATTAAAAAATTAGGTAAATAAATTAATTATAACAAACGTAACATTATCTTTCAAAAATAATCCTATAAAAACTATGATGTTAAATTATCTATTTGTTTTATAAGTTAGATAAATTGATTTGCAAAAAAAAATAATAAATATAAAAGACAAGAAATATTGAGATTTTATATTTATGATCTAATATTAATATTAAGAACAGAGGCAGTAGCTTATAATTATATTCATTTTTATTCACTTTGTTACTTTAAAGATTGAAAGCTCCTCTTCACATCTCTACTTCCTCTTTTATTAGGCAGACTAACATTACAAGAAAAGTAGGTTATATAGGATAATGCTCTTGACTTTATGATCTTATTTCCTCTTCTCGCTTTCAACTGTCCTCTTTGAGAAATAAAATAAATGCTTAGTCTACTTCCTTATTGTAGGCAATTCAATCAAAAGAATCATTAAGTTCCAATGCAAACAGATAATGCACATATCATCATCTGAAGATTATTATTCAATGGGACAAGCTTATATAATTACATGGCAGAAGCAGTTATATCCCCACCATTACTACTAAGTGGAGGCAAGATGTTAAAACAGAGAATGAAACCCAGTACGCAGTACAGTAGAAGACATATAACAGAAATCAAAAGAACTTCACACTGCAGAAAGAAGTTATGGTTATGGATATTGCTTGCATGATGCATCAGTTTGACTTAAAAGGGATCGCCCTTATCACTATCTGGTGGTACAGTGCTGCAAGAGCTGCCCCTAGCAGAGGCCCAACCCAGAAGATCCACTGCACCATGACATAAACAGGTCTTTTAAAAATTGAAAAAGAATCAAAATCAAACCCAAAGCAAAGCATATGAAGACTCACATGATCATGCCAAGCTTGGTGCTTGTTGAAGATAAGAGCAGCACCAAGACTTCTAGCTGGGTTAATACCTGTGCCTGTCACAGGAATGGTAGCCAAATGCACCACAAACACAGCAAACCCTATAGGCAGTGGAGCCAAAACCTGCAATCCATCCAAAACCATATATATAATAAGTATTTCATACAGTTAGAATTAAACAAGTTTCAGTTAATAATAATTTCTTGTAATATGGATATAGATTGATGGCTTACAGGAACATGGGAGTCTCTGGCGTTTCGCTTGGCATCAGTAGCAGAGAAGACAGTATAAACAAGAACGAATGTGCCAAGGATCTCAGCTTCAAGGCCTGCGGTTTTAGAGTAGCCAGAAGTGAGAGTGTTGGCGGCACCACCTAGTCTCTCAAAGGTATGTGGCTGGAAGGACTTAACCACAGCGGCTCCGGCTATGGCACCCAAGCACTGCATTGTTATGTACATCAATGTCCTTGTCAGTGACACCTTCCTTGCTAGAAACAGCCCAAATGTTACTGCTGGGTTTATGTGCCCTCCTGCACCCACAAATCATGCATTTAGCCAAACTTTGCAGAGTTATTTCATGGGTTAAGAGTCACTTTTATCCTAGAAATGTTCACAAAAAAGCTATGGATAAAGTTTTTTTCCCCCTCAATATCCTTTCTAACATGTTAAAAAAATAGCAATGTCATCCTTCCTATTAAAAATGTTAAGAGTCAATATTAGTTTTAAAGTTAGTGTTAGTTTTTTAAAAGAGAGGGAAACATTACTTTTTTTTAACCTTTTCAGTGACAGCAATAAACTTTATCTAATTAAATAAAGTTGACTACATAGATCACACAACGTCATTATATTCTATCAACAATCAAATCTTTAGAAAGATTGTCCCATTTAATAACCTCATTTAAACAAACAAAAATGACCCCTGACCCTTATTTCATTTAAACACAATATTGTTCATTGTTATGGTCGTTTTCCTGATGAAGATTACCTGAGATACCAGCAGTGGAGTAGACAAGAGCAAAGATCATGCCCCCAAAAGCCCAAGCAATGCCTTGAGTGCCAACAGTGGAGCACCTAGAGGAAGATTTAGCCACCCCAATGATAGTCAAAACGGTGACGTAGAGGAACAAGAAACTGGCCACAAACTCTGCAATGCCTGCTCTGTAGAAAGACCATGAAGATAGCTCACCAACTTCAAACAACGGCGCAGCAGGTGGCTCTCTGTAGTCTCTTCCATCTTGGCTCTGAGCTGCCGTTCCAATCGCTTGCCTTCCTCTGTACTTGTTGGCTCCTACCCTCACATCTTCTTCCTCCATTTTCTCTCTAACTTTCCGGGGAAAATGCTCAGTAAGACTACTGGGGAAAGGGTGTCTACTTTGTAGAGCCTGAGGGGTTGTTAAAAGAGTCAATTTTGTAGCTTTAGAATAGTTATGGGTTGAGTGATTGAAAGGGAATGGAACTGTGGATTGGGGTGACAGTACACCGACCAAGGAGGAAGAAAAGGAGAGAATAGAGAAGTTTGAGTTATTTTGGGAGACAATAAATGGCAAACATTAAATTCACTTAGGCTTTCTTTCTTCCCACTTTGCTTATTAGCCTTTCCTTTACGCATGTATCTCTTGACTTTGAATGCAAGCTTGCGCACCACTAGCTTTGCCCAGAAATAATGGCAGCCTTAATTATAGAAGCAGCCACTTCAACTTAAAATTGTGGGATGCCTAATGAAATCCTTACAAAATGAATCCTCCATAAAGGAATATTGAGAAAATTGCAAAAATTATATCCAATGTTGTGAGGCAAATTCAGAACATAGAATAATAGGAAGAAATCCTTTTTTTTCAGGGGTGTTCATGAGCTCATTAGCCCAATATGCACGTCCAAGCCCACTAAAAAATTGTCCTGTCCGATCCAAAAAAACACAGCCCAAGGAAAAAATGGGCATTTTCAGACAAGACCGAGCCACGAGTATAGCATGCAGCCCTGCCTATTTGGCTATGCTCGAAATATGTAATTATTTATATTATAATATATATTTTTTCACAATTATAATATATATACTGTAATATTAATATACTACTCCTCCGGTCCTAAATATAAGACCCTTACTAGTATAAGGGTCTTATATTTAGGACCGGAGGAGTATATTTTATTATATTTCATTACTCAAAAGGAACATTACATCCTTATATTATTAGACTTTACATTTTAAAGTTCTAGTTTTTTTTTAAAAAAAATACCACTTTTTTAACTTTTCTAAATTATTTTGCTGTGTACTATAATTGTCTTTTAACTTTTTCATGTTGATATTACTTCATATATCATGAAATGATACTGATTATACTAATTTGAATATAATATATAGATCTCTATAAATTATATTAAATTATATGTTAATATAGCTTGTATTTTTTTTATATGTTTTATTATTTTCTCAACTTTGTGGATATTGGTGCAAATCATTTGGATTTTAAGGCTTTAATTACAATTTTTTATTGTCTTGTTTTTAATAAATTATGAATATTGTTAAATTCTTAAAACATAAATATCTGTTAAGACATACGACAGTATTTAAATTTCATAACTCAAGTTGTAAATTTAAATAAAGAAAGCCCGCCCTGCCCAGTCTGTATTAGCCCAGCCCAAAATAACTAGGGCTTCTACTCGGCAAGGTCGGGCAATGCAGCCCCCTCATCCTTCGAGCTGGGTATCAGGCAAAGGTTTTGCCTTACCGAACCCTGCTCATGCGCACTTTTTTTTGAAAAAAGTAAAATAGGAAGAAACCCATTTAACAGACCATTGAGAAAAAATCGAATGCGTCCATCGAGTGAACGGGGGAGATCAACCCACCCGCACTGGGACATAGTGGGATGATCAATTGGACGGTTAGCTTTTAACTGGATGGGCAGCAACTCGCCTCATCAGTAGACAATCGGAACATCACTTGCCCGCCGACCACCGTCAAAGATGGAGAAGATGACTGCATCCGATCACGCTTCTTGACAAGTGATGTATTGATAAAAGTTTGTGCACTTTCTATTTTATCTTTTATTTTTTAAATAAAAATTATTACTTTTGTCCTAAATATAATATTTATTTTTAGTACTGCATGTAGTAGTGTTTTATTTTTTATCTTTTAGGTGTATTCTGGAATTTCACACCTTGAATCTGTTGGCCAACAGTAAGTCTATTATTTTACCTTTTTAAATATTTTCTCAATGACATTACTATCTTAATAAGGTAGACATTTGATTCAATTATAATTAAAATTAAACAATGAACAGTTATTGTAAAAATAATATAAAATTTTTATAAGATCTTTTTCTTTTCCTTCTGGGTCATCACTTTCTAAAATATGCAGAACCTTTCCAAGGAACAAATCCAAGGCCCAATGGCCTTCCTCATCTAGGAGTTTTTTTTGGGTTACATCCTCATCTATGATTTTGTTATCCCTTCTCAACTCATGTGTTCCCCAACATTTAGGCCCAATGTAGGACTTAGCCATTTCCACGGAAAACCACCCAAAAAAAGTCTCCTACTTTTTTAAAAATTAATCGAATGAGATAGATTTAACTAAATGAATGATAATAATAAATAATAAATATTATATTAAAAAAATTAATGCCATACCGTGCATTTTATAGAAAAGTTACGTTATTAATGACTCATAAATTAATACAAATTCTCATATTATATACCAGTGGCCCCAAGGTATGTGTTGTGCTAAACATCAACAACTGGCTAATCCTTTAATTTAAGCATGGATATGAACTAAACTTAAAGGAATCAAATTTAAAAATTGAGAAAGCTCGGTTAAATTAAAATGAGCGCAAATGAACCCAAATATCACCCATGTACCACACAACACCAAACATATTTTTTTGATTTAGATTATGATGAAACGAAGATGACATTTTCACAAAGTAGGGTGTTTGGGTAACCCCATAAGCACTTTTCCACAAATCAAAGTAAATTTGTATACCATAAAAGCACTTTTAAAACCATGATTTTATTTTTACCCAAACACCCATTTAATCCATGCACGTTTGCTTTTCTTTGCTTTCTTAGAATTCAGAAAAGAAAAATGATGGTGGAGTTAGTTGACTGGGACTGGAATTGGGTTCATCGATGTGTCTGCCACAAAATGAACAACCCATTCGTGCAATCCAAAGTGAAAGGAGGCAACGCATAGTGGAAAACAACAAAAAACATCATGGTCATCCTCACCATCATCATCATCACGAAGAGACCAAATTTCAGTGGAAGGCAGCCTGCAATCTCACTACTAGCTAGCTCTATTCCCTTCCTTCAATCAGTGACAGAGAGAGCTTCCATTAACGTTTTAAAATACCCAAGTCTTTAAGAATGTCAGAAACAAAATGAAGGAAAAGAAGAAAAAGGGAATATAATGTTGTTATGTGCTTTAGTTTGTTGTCGTTTTGATAGTGGGTGGATGGATTATACCTTAAAATATCAAATTTAAAACTAAGGGAAGGACGCAGCTTTGTCACTTGTTTATGATGATATATTATTATTACTATTATTCCTTTCTACTTTTTCCTTCTGCTTCTACTAACTTTTTCCTATTTAAGGATTTGTGATTGGGAAAAGAGAAAGCTTTACTCATCAAATTCAGGTTGAATGCTATTGCAGAAGAAACTCATTATTTCTTCCTCCATTAAAACTACTTTTGTCCACGGACACACAATTTTCAATTCCAGATAAAGCAGCCTTGCAGGGCATCAATATTTTTTAGCTGTGTTATCATTAGAAAGAAACGAACTTATCCCTCCCCCCCCCCAACCAAAAAAAAAAAAAACAGAGGGGAAATGGACTTTACCAATAATGTCACATATAAACTGTTCATATATGATTATTATGTGCCATTATGTGTGTGTCAGTGTGTTAAGTACTTGTTAAGATGATAGCTACCGTACGAGAAAATGCTCCAGTGATTTAAATACCCGATGACCAAAATATGTTATATTGGTCTCCTAACGAATCAAAATAATCTGACAGGAGGATCTTTCATGTCATCAAAACACGCAGTTAAATCACGTGTTTATTTCATTCAATGGCAAGACCTTTCATGTCACGATTTAAGAATTCACAACCAGCCAAGTAATGATTTCAATATGGTAATATGGCTGGTCATATCAAATTACATGATTGCAAACACTTCTAAATCAGTTCCATTTGGAGTTTGTGCATATGGATTTTAGTACAAGTGATCTTATATAATTGTGTACTTATAAGTAATATTTGTATTATATTGAACTTTTATGAGACTAAATCATGAATAGGTGATGAGATTATTAGTTAATCAGATTCATCATTTCTAAATCGACTGTTCAACAGATTATCAATGTCCCATTGATTGAGTATTGACACAGCCAACATGACCTTATTCAGAAGGTCCTACAACCATCTAATTCTTTCAGATAACCTCACAAAGTTGGTGCAAGGTCACATGGGAATAAGTCAGTAAATCTCTTGAATTCTGAGAGACCTGGCATGCAGTACAAGGAGGAGGTTTGGATGAAGAAGGTGCTTTGTTGGGCGCATGTCTTTCTTCTGAGGAATGGAGGCACGTGATGGTCACGTGGTCCCCTCTCGAATTTCTATCTTCCATCCCCTTCAACTTATTAATTGGAACCACCTTCTCCCTGAGCCTCCTCTTTTGGCCTCGTAGGGATCGTGAAACTGCACAACATAGCAGAACAGAGAACTTTTGAGGACAGGGAGCAAATAGAGGGTGTGTGAGGCTAACAATGGCAATCATTGTTATCTTGCATACTATGATGAGCTTTCCTAATGCACAAATGATATTATTCTTTATGGCTTGATGGGCATTGAAATACTGGTACTAGAGATGATAATTATGATAGTTTAGTTGGTACAATCATTGTTCCATTGTAAACTTGAAATTGGTCTTTCCATAATTAACACTAATAGATTGTGTATGGAGCTTAGCTATTCTAATTGTGAAGTTATCTCACGTACTAAGTGGGGCTTTGACAGTCTAACCAAACCACTAATTTGCAATAGGTCCTGCGGCTGGGAGGGTTGTCCTAATCCTCTCCTCACAGCTAAGCAAAGGACCAAACTTTAGGTTGAGGATTTTGTCAGAGGAGGTGGTGACTGGTGAAGAATTAATTCTGAAATTGCCCCTCCCATATCATAAGTGGGACCCCGCGTTGTTATATTATTCTTCATCAAGTCAGTGGGTCCCTCTAATCTCCCTCCACTACACACCATTTTCTCACCTCTAACCCTAAATATAGTACCTCTAATATTGGAAACTCGTAGGGTATTTACCTAAGCGGGTGGGGAGAAAAAAGGTGGATCTTCTATACATTCTCATATTTTATTCTAACCTCTTTCTCATTTCAGAGACATTTTTTTAAGTTTTAACTTCTTTAAAAGGACTCTCCTTTGACCACAAAAAATTATGGGTTGATCTTCCTCTGATCAAATAATT